CAAACCAATCATACATAATCATATACATTGTCAAGATGATGATAATTCACACCCTTACCTTGATTAATCGAAAGCTAGAAGTCGTTCTTGATGATTCCAAACTTTTCCCCTTTTTCTCTTCTTTTCTCTTCTTCCTCTTTCTTTCCACTCTTCTTTCTCTTATGTTTTCCATTCCCTTTCCTTTCTCTCTACTTTTCTTTTATATCTCTTTTTATCATTTTTCCTTCCATCATAATTCTTCTCTCAAAATATTTACCAATTCATTTTCTCATAAAATATTCCATCTCAGCATTAATTAGAGAATATCTAGTAAACCCACATTATTCTGCCAAATAGAATAAATCAATTAAATCCAATAATTCATTTAAATCAAATAAATCACATAAACCAATTAATTAGTACAATTAATCAATTATTGAAAATTGGGCTGTTACAGTGCCTCTGAGCCACTCATTTGGTTGAATCTGATTGTTAAGCCAAGGACTCTTGTATAGGAGTCCCCATCGTATCACGTGTGCCCTCCATCTTCACCCTTTGGTCAATGTTTAACTTAGATTGGTAAGCCCATCGTACGCTTCAGATTGAGTCAATGGATGACTCTAGATCTTAGGACCTAAACGATTGGGCCTTGCCTCTTTTGCTCACTACCATGCCTTAGTTACTTTTCTCACCCCCTATTGGTGTGAAAGAAACAAATTGGGCCTCTGACTTCAGGCCCAAACACCCTTTTTGGGGCGCCACCCCCTGTTTTATTTTTTTTACCCCTCCTTGTTTTTTTAGTTCTTTTTTGTTTTGTTCTTTGGGCCAAACCTATTTCTTCTTTTGCTCTTGCACAACACATTGCATGTTCACACCCCATTTTCCTTTCTTTTATTATTAATTATTTGTTTTTTTAATTGCATTAATTAATTATTGCATAAGTGAAATAAACTTTTTAAAAAATCAAAATCACCTTTAAGTAAAAAAGTCACAATCATTGTCACACTTGATCCACATCAAGTTCTTTGCTCACTAAAATCTTTTTTTTTTCAAAACAAAAACATGAACTTGATCAACATCAAGTTAATTTTCAAAACAAAATACATTTCTTTATCAATTACAAAACCATTTCATCATTAAGTCAATTTCAAATAAACAAAAAATCAATCAAAACACTTGATCAATATCAAGTCATTTTTCTAACTTAATCAAATACTTCAAATCTTTTTTCAATTAAAATCGGATGAGAAATGACTAGTTTGGTGTATGCCTCTCATTTCCTTGAATAGTTGGATACAAACCGTATAGCTTCACCATTCAAATGTTCGCCATCTACTCAAAACTAAATAACTCGTCCAAATTCAACTCATCTCTTTCACAAAAATGACTTAATGAGTGTATGCCTCTTTTTTCTCGAGTATTTGGATACAAGCCGTATAACTTAACCATTCGAGTGCTTCTCATCTTTGAGAAATCTTGACCGGATTCGTACCAAACCACTTTCATAATAAAAAACTTCAAAATTCTCATTTCATAATAACCCGATGAAAAAGGTTTAATTTGGTGTATGCCTCTTTATTCCCCGAGTACTTGGATACGAGTTGTATAGCTCAACCATTCAAATACTCGTTTTCCCTTTAAAATACAATAATTAACTGAATTTGGTTCACTCTTTGGTTGATGAAAAATCACTAATTGGCGTATGCCTATTTTTCCCAAGTATTCGAATACAATTTGTATAGCTTGACCATTTGGATACTTGTCTTTCGTTAGAGAATCGTGACTGAATTCATCTCACAAATATTATAATAACACCAGATGAAAAAATATTAACTGGCCGTATGCCTATTTTTTTCTCGAGTATTTGTATACAAGTTGTATAGCTTGAACATTTGAATACTCGTCTTCCACCTAAAAACAATCCGTCGAATCAAACTATCTTTTCCCGCCTTAGCGTGACCACAAGCTTTTTCACAAATGGATGATATTTTATCCATTCTATCACATGCGAGCATACAAGAAACATTTAACCAATAGAATGTGACATAAATATCATTCACTAAAATCAACCAATAAACACTCATTTGATACTCAGAACTATGTAGCTTTGAATTCTTCATTGCACCAGAGGATACATAAGAGCGATATTCAACATCTCGTCAAGTACTATAATAAAAAATCCAAAAATATATTTTTCTTGCTAATAACTACGTAAAAATATATTCAACATCTTGTCAAGCACCTTAATAAAAAAACTTATTTTTTAGTCCTTTTCTTTTTCCTTTCAAACTTCTAATAAGTACAACAAATGTGTGGGGGGTGCTAATACTTCTCTACACATAATCGACCCCCGAACCTGAATTTGGTTCTGACTACCATATTTTTTTCTTAAAGAGTTTTATTGGTATTTACCCTTTCTTTTTAGAATAAACAAACTTCGCTGGCAATTATGTTTTATTTTGGACGTTTGTTAGGCCTAATTATTTTTCGCGTTGTGACACTATGATCCTGGGGACAATTTTGCTGACGAATTTGTTCATGGATGCAATGAGTTTTTCCTTAGTAATGGGATTGTTATGTTGTCTTTCCTGTTGAGTCGATAATGAAAAAACTTTGTTGATGTAGGGAAATGGACGCATCAACATAATCTAAGACCAAACATGAGTATAATGTTCATTGAGCTCTTTAAGGAAGCGTAGGATGTAGTCGTCATCGCGGTACTGTTTGATTGTAGCTATAAGAGAACCAAATCATTTCCGAGAATAGGTGCAATTGGGTAAGGGGAGAAAATTTTCAAGTTCTTGCCATAATTTCTCGAGGGTAGTGAAGTACTCTAATCTGTTGTTATTTGTGTGAGAGAATAAATTTCCTCTTGTAATTCTAAAATTATTAACAAATCTCCTTGGTGATAGTGATCCCTTAACTCATCCCATATTTCTCTAGCAGTATCCATCCAGAGAACGCTTTTAGAGATCTCTTTGTTAATAGAATTCCTGATCTAAGCCATCACGATGGTGTTATAATGATCCCATATTATGGAAGTACGATTAGTGTTGGGTGGGCAAATTAGGGTTCCGTCAATGAACACTAAATTATTTTTGGATTGGACTAAGAATGATAATAATTTTTATTGAGATAAGGGGTTACAATAACATTTCATGGGTTGTCACTTGGGTGCATGAAAAAAGGATCCAACATATCAGTTTGGCAGTTGCGAATGGATGAGTTTAAACTGAAAGCATTTTCGGTCGGTAAATTTGGTGGTGAAAGGTTGTTCAGAGATTTTGGGGGAAATGGGTCTGAATTTGTAGGTGAGGCCATATGGAAAGAAGCAATAACAGTTTGAGATAGTTTAAGAAAAAATGTGTGAGATATGAAGACAACGAAGGTGATGCAAGATTAAAGAACGAGAGGGATTTTTAGAGAAATTGAAAAATTAGGGTTTGAATGTGTGAAAGAACGAGATAAATGATGAGAGAATTTATGGATCTGATGGTTGCGTGATAGATAAAGGTTGGGTGTGTCGTTTTTGCTTGGTAAGAATATTCAGATGGAATTTTTGACACTGGTGAATGTATGAATATTGCAAGTTTTGGGTAAGAAAAATATGAATATGTTGAAGAACAAGGTTGGAGTGAATGAAGTTCTGGATGTTGGGTGAGGAATATGTATGAAGGTGTCAATGTTGGAAGGAAAGAAAAATGTGATTCTGGGTTTTAATATGAAGATAGTAGATGGATGTAAGGAAAATGATGAATTTTTGGAAATTCTTTTGAGAAAATCTTGAAGATTTAGGAATAGGCGAGAGAGAAAGAAAAAAGAAGAGAGAGAAATTTTAAAAATATGTGGCAAGAAGATAATGTTTGGAAATGAAATGGTGTAATCTAAGTGATAAAAGAGGAGGATTACATGTGGGAGAATTGACCAGGGTAAACGAAACATGCATTGGCATACTAGTCAGCTTGTGATACCATGTTAACATGTATTGATTTTGGCCATTAAACATAAAAAAATATTAATTTTTATTAAACCAAAAAACTGATTACAATAAAGGTTTGCACCACTTTATATAGGTAGTGGTAGTGCTGACGATGAATTGAACAATTCGATTCAACAATTAGATCGTTGAATTTGGTTCATGAACTAAATGAGTTAAATATGAGAAGAAAAAAAACCAAATTTGTTAACTAAATGAGCTGGACTTGAATTATATATAGTTCGACTCGTTAAGTTCACAAGGCAACTCGATTACATAAATTAACACCAAAAGTAGATTTTAAGGACTTACTCAAAATTTTAGCCCTCTATATTCTTCCCATCTTATAAATTTTATTTTTTTTAATTTTTTTTTAAAATTTAATTTAAAATATAAAATATATATAAAAAATAAATTAAAAAAAAAACTTATAATTTCGTAAAATAAACGAGATGAATCTAACAAGTAGAATTGAGATGTTTGTAAACTTAAAACGAATCGAGTTTGAGTTTAAGAAAATTATGCTAAACTCCAGTCGAGTTTTGAGCAAAACCAAATTTTAATCAAATTGAAGTGAGTTCGAGTGAACTTAATTTGACTTAACTCATTTTCTACCCTAAATAGTGGTGAAACGTTATCAGACATCCATATAATAGAAAGCTAAAAATAGAAAAAGCTAGATTACGTGGTGATCTTATAGCTCAAGCATGCTTGCTTAGTGGAAAATTTTGTCTGCCCAACTTTTGCTATGTTCACACTACATTTTTAGCTCACCTACTTCTTTTTCTATGTTATTGGAAGAATTTTAATCTTTCTTTTTCTATGTCGATCAAATGCTAATGCTATTCAATTCAAGGGATGTTCATAGTGAAGCTTCTACCATGAAACATTATGATTAAAGGTTGAATATCCTAACACCACAACCACCCCACTAATACTAATGTAATACCCCTTTTTAACTTTACTACTACTATATAACTATGCTACTTCCTCCTTCTAATTCAATATGCCATAAACAAACAACACGATTTTCAACAACAAAAAAATGGTAATGGATTTCAATGTTAGAACTCTCCTTGCAACAGTGGTGATATTTCTGTTGGCATCAAGTGTGTTGATTATTGAAACTGAAGGTGCTGGAGAATGTGGAAAGACACCAATTGGTTCAGCAGCTGCTAGTCTAAGTCCATGCTTAGATGCTTCACGTAATGTTAGGGCAAAAGTTTCACCAGCTTGTTGTACTAAAGTTGGTGCTTTGCTTTCAACTTCTCCAAAATGTCTTTGTTCAGTTCTTTTGTCACCTCTTGCTAAACAAGCCAAGATTAATCTTGCTATTGCTATTACTATTCCTAAGAGATGCAACATTAGGAACAGACCTGCTGGAAAGAAATGTGGAAGTAAGTCTTTCTTCCAATGTTTCATTTAGTATTGTATTAATATTATATATAATTGTAATGTGATTAATTAATGTTGTTCTTTTTTCTTTGCAGAGTACACACTTCCTTGAAACCAAAACAGAAGAATAATACATGTGATATGCAGTATTTAACAGATTAAAGAGCTAAATAAATTCTGTAATATGCCATTTTCTACTTGGAGAGTGACATGTGCCAGGATGTAGCATTTTGTATTTCTAAGAGTATTGTTGTATGATTTGATGTATTGCTTGATATTATTATAAAATAACTACTTAAATATGTGTTCACACGTGTTAAAATCATTTTATACAGTAGAATTAAACTCATGCACATTGAGAGTTAAGAGTATCGTATGATTTGATGTATTGTTTGATATTATATTATTATTATTATTATAAAATAAAGTTATTTTCTGTAATTTCCATATCTACTATTATATTAAAAAAATTCTCCGTGATTCCTTTGTTTTTTTACAATAATATGTTTGTATATTAAATTATTCATAAAGAAATTAAAATAGAAATCCTGACAAATAATGAGATTTTAAGTTAGAAAAACTTTTATTAAATAACTATTATTTTTTTTTCTTCTGAAAATGATAATAGCAAATTTTTTTAACACTAGCCTAGGTTTGGAATTATTAAAAATCACAGTAACGCCTCACGTTTACTGGAAGCTAGGATTCTTAGCTTCAGAAAATCACGGTACACGCACGGTGGCTGTGACACACCGAGTCACAGGTTCTGATAGAGAAAGTGGAAAGGATTCATGAGCTGCGTACGGTTCTTGGCGGGTCGAAGCCAGTGTTGGGAGAAGAAAGATAGTATTGGGTAGAAAGCTAGCAAATCTGTTGTCTTTAATGTTAAGGATGCTTATCATTTGATGATGGAAGCGAGACCTGCAAACTTTATTATAGAATCTCAAAGTAAGGCATTTGACCATTACAAGAAATCTTGCTATTTGTCTCAGTGATTTAGTGACGTAATATTTATGTGACAAATAATGATGATATTGCATTACTTCACTAAATGATTATATTAATAAATAAATTGGTATCAAGTTTGCACATGATGACGACAGATTTTTTTTTATTTTTAAAATTAGTTGCGGGGTGATTTCTACGTCGCAACAGAAAAATAAAAAAATAAAAAATTCAAACTATACGTTTTCACGTGAGAAAAATTTAAATATTTCAGAATTTCAGTTGTGGCTTGAAACATACATCACAAATTGAAATTCAAAAATTAAAAAAAAAAAAAAGTGAAAATCTGCTCTGTTTTAGAAATGATGGGTCTGGCACAAAAGCTGATCATTGCAGCGTGTGCAGCGTGAGAATCACGTCGCTAATTTTCGACATAAAAATCCCCTTGTTACAATCAAAATTTAATTTTTGTCTGTCACACTTATTACCGTTGTATGGTTTCCAACGTGTTTACCACGTGGTTGATTTCCAACGTGTTTACCACGTCGCAAAGTTTCAAATATATTTTTGTTTTCAGCTTCAAAATACACACTCTCTTTGTTGCTTCTTCATTTCTATTTCTCATCCTCTTCTTTCCTCCACAATCCCTCCAACGCTATTTCCACACCTTTGTTGTTCTTTCCTCATTCAAAGGTATGTTTATGTTTTTCTTCTTCTTTCTTCCTTCTTATTTTCTATTTAGTTTTTATTTTTATTTTCGTTTTTAATTTTATTTTAATATTTTCTAATTTTAAAATTTTGATGTTTGTTGTTTAAAGAAAAATATTTGGAAGTTTGCAAGAGCTCATCAAACAAGATTCAATATTCGAATTTTTTTGTTGTTTCATTGAGGTATTTTTGTAATTTTAATTATTTATTTTTCAGATTTATATGAATGAAATTATATATGAGGTTGTTTGGTTATTGTTGTGTAAATACAAAATATATAAGTAACATATGAAATATATAAAATTATTTAGGTTATTTATGTTATTTATTTGGTTGTGATTGATTGTTGTTGTGTAAAAATGGAATAAATAGGTTATTTATTTTTCAAATATGTTATTCTTATTAAAAACATAATATATGTTATATTTTATAGGTTATATTTTATATTTAATATGTTGTATAGGTTATTTTATATATTTTAAAATAGAATATATATTATAGGTTATATTTTATGTTTTATAGGTTATTTTATATATTTTAAAAACAAAATTTATAAAAAAAATCATAAAAGTTAGAAAAAAATAGAATTTATAGGTTATATTTAAAATATTTTAAAAAATATATTTAATAAGTTATATTTAATATATTTTAAAAACAGAAAATAGAATTTTATAGGTTATATTTAATATATTTTATAAAAAAAATTATAAATTTTTTTAAAAAAACAGATTTTAAAAAAGTATTTTTATTAATTGTAAAATTAATTTTAAACAATAATATTTTTTATTAAACTCAATTATTAAATAGAAGGATTTTTATTGGAAAGTATATTTAGAAAAAGTTACTTGTAAAAAATGTATATAACTAATATAACTAATATGAAAAAGTTATATAAATATGTTATGTAGATTTATCACTATCAGAAATATTGTAATTTTCCACGTGGTATTCACACCACTAAGCTAAAAAACACATCACTAAACAAAATTTGCGACGTGGGTAAAGCACGTCGGAAAAGCAACAGTGAGAACATTTTTCCACGTGAAAATTACGTCACTAATTTGTGACATGGGATTCACGCCACAAACCACCAAAATAATTGAAAACGTTCCATCGTGAAATTTCACGTCACTAATTAGTGACGTGATTTTCACGTGGGAAATCACCTTTCACGTGATTTCCATGTCACTAATTAGTGACGTGGTTCCCATGCCATAAAATAAAATCAGTTTTAAGTTAGTGACTTTATTTTCACTTCACTATATAATTTAATAATATAAAAAAATTAAATATTAATGAATACAACGAATTAATAAATAATAAAATTAAAAATTAAAATAATTTTCAATTAATTTTTTTTATTATTTAATATATACATTAAAAAAAGATATAAATATTTAGTCACATAATATTCACGTCACAAACATAAAAAATAATTAAAAAAATTGTCACGTAATATTCACGTCACAAACATAAATAATAATAATAAAAAGTTATTCATCGTCAGTACTAAATATAGCATCTTCGTCTTCTTCATCATCTTGAACAGAATAATTTGATTGTGAGGCAAAAAATTGTCGCATTTGTGCCTCCATGTCGGATTGCCGCTTCCTCGTTTCCTCCATTTCAGCATTTTGCCTATTTCTCGTATTCTCCATTTCGGCCTTTAGGGTCGCCTCACGTGCCTCCGCCTCTTGTCTCACCTCAGATAGAGCTAACTCTCTCACTGTTGCCAATATTTCTGGTGTCAATTCTACCGGACGAGATTCTCCTTCCCCATCATCGAGTCTTTGAAATAAAGTTCGGTCCCCTTTTCTATAATCGTCAGCTAAAGACCCAAGGCCAAAAATACACCCATTGACTCCCTTCCCGCCTACTGTTAAATTCCAAATATAAAGATCCACGCGTGGATCAAGCGGTGCATTCCCAATCGGCATATATTAAGAATTTTCAGTTAGAAATTGGGAAAGCAAGGTCTGGTACAATTCCTACACACACATTGAAAAAATTAAATTAAATATAGTTTAAACAATTTAATTATATACAATAATTATGAAATAAAATAATTCAACTATAAACAAGTTACCAAGGTTGATTTGGAACGGCTGTCAACAAACTCCCCCGATTTTTTGGTTCGGGTCTTCACAAATAGCTCATTAATTCGTGGCTCCCTCCCCAAACCCTTTTTCTAATTAAAATAATTAAGTTTAATTAAATATATAATAATACAAAATAGAACTTTAAAAAAAATTTATAATTACCATTCGTCGATGATGTTCGCCGATATTGATACTTCCAACTGTACTAAGACAGTCACCTGCTTCAGATGCCCTCATCTTTTTTGCATGTTCAGAACTTCTCTGAAAATCTTTTGTCTTCCCCCACTCAATAAGTTCCCCAAATATTTCTTCGCCTATCCAGTTAGGACGAGTTTGATCTCTTTCCCAATGTTGTCTAGCATTCATGAGCATGTCAGATAATCTGCTAGGTACCTTACTTCTAAAAAAAATATTATTTTGAACTCGTCAAATTTTTGCCAAGTACACCTTTCCTGCAAGTTATATGACAATCAAATAAAATGTTAGATATTTATATAACAAAAAATAGTTATAAAAATACAATTTACCTTGAATTTATCAAATCATATATCTTTCTCAATATTTGGGAGCTCTCTGAAAGACTTAATGAGTTTTGTATACATCAATTGAATGACCCAGTTTACAGCTTTTGCAGCAGGCCGACACAGATCAAAACTAAACAACAATAATTTGAATGAGTATTAAACATAAAATGACAATATATAGTTATATAAATATTATAAATTAAAAATATACCCAGATCCCTCAGGCCTAATCAGATGTCGTCCTTCAACCACCAAAATCTCCCCTACAACAGGATTTGCCTGCTCCTCATGAACATCGTCATCCTCCTAATAGGGTGGTCATCCTGCTCCTAACGCCCAGGTATATGTGTGGGATGTGGAATGCGGGAGCCAGATCCCCCTGACTGGTGCGTGGAGGGAGTCTGCTGAGGAAAACTAGATCCTACAGGCTGCGGCGTGAAGGAATACTGCTGAGGAAAACAAGATCCCCCAGGCTGTGCAAAGGGAGTCTGCTGAGGAAAACTAAATCCTCCAAGCTACTGTGTGAAGGAATAATCACTACGCCAAAATTGATATTTTGTATCGCCTAATTTAATAGCGCTTTTAAAAAAAGTGCTATTAAAAAGGAAACAAACACATCTATAATAGCACTTTATGGTCGGACGCTATTATAGAGTGTAGACAATGTGATTTTGATAGCACTTTATTAAAAAGCGCTATTATTATAAAGGAAACAAACATATCTATAATAGCACTTTTAAAAAAAGTGCTATTAAAAAAGAAACAAACATAGTTATAATAGCACTTTATGGTCGGGCGCTATTATAAAGTGTTGACAATATGATTTTGATAGCACT